TTTGATTACCATCAATATAACTTCCTCTCACTGTGATGTTGAAAGAGTGACCAGACAAGCTTTCTTTAGGGTTTTATCATACTTCTTCACCCTTCACACTCTATAAGTAGCCAAAATCACCGAAGAGAATTAGATTTTTAAGAAAAAAGTTGTGCACCTCCTTTACGCCACACACCACGAACTGGTAAACCACTGGTCTGATTTTGGTTACTACTGGAATTATCATCCATTTCTTCCAGTCCACTCTCATGGACAGAGTTGTTAAGTAATGCAGCCATTGATCCGTCACCAAGCCGAACTCTGTGAAACTTAGAGGTTTTCTTACGTTGCTGCTTGTTTCCGGTTGAAGAAGAATCTGTTCCTGCTACTTTTGATTTGCATTTGTCTGACCGGTATTGATTCTTATCTTTCGATATCGCCTCTTCCTCTTCTTCTACTTCCTGACGATTCTGTGAGGATTGCAATCTCCTCACTGTGTCCATGAAGTTATCTGCTAATGTTTCTTTCGGTTCAACAACCTTCACAGCCTTCCCTTTGTTTTTCTTTGAGCTTTGACTCTCTTTAGCTTGAGATGAGCTTTGCGCAGAAACCTGACCATTCTCCTTTGCGTGGTTTTCTCTCATACTGGCATTGTGGGTATCGATGAGTTCCTTCTGTCTTTTGGGATCAGGGCAGAGTCTAGCAAGATCAACAACCAAGTGAGACAATCCGTAACCTTCCACATACTCCAAGTAAGTTCTTGCATCAATTGAACCTTGACGGTACTGTCCTGATACATTTTTAAAGGCCATGAATATATCTTCATCATGGCCAAGTGCAGATCGCATTTTCTCAACCAATGATTTGTTGGCAGACTGTACATCTGGCGGCGGTTGGGTGTTCGAATATCCCTGTGTAATGGTGGGTGGTGCACGATTTTGCACAACAGCAGAAGAAACTGGCGGAAAATCTGAATGAGAAGACTGAAGTGATCTTGTATCAGATAGATTAGGGGCTGAGGATGAGTGAGGAATCCTATTTGCATTACGAACAACCTGTGGAACCGCAGAATTAGGAGGTCCAGGCTGTGAAACTCTACCATGGGACCTAGATTGGGTAGAAGTACTAGAAGCTTGTACAGGTGTGCGACCTATTGCTGGCCATCCCGAAGAAGAATTGCCGCCGCCACTTGTATTAGATGCTTGTACTGGGCCTCGGTTAACTGCTGGCCATGCTTG